TTTTTAATATTTAAAGTTTTATTATAGGTTGGTAGGTTTATTAATTTATATTTTTTAATAAGTGAAAAAGGGATTACTATTCTTTCCTTCTTTAGTTAAGGATCTTTGTTTTTTTTTTCTTTTTTATCTTTTTTATTATTATTATTATTATTATCTGGAAATCTAGGAGGTATTGAAGATTAGAAGGGTGTTAATTAATGAGAAATTCTCGATAGGGACTTTTCAAAAGTTTTCCTAAATTTGGCCTTCCTTAAGGCCAATTTTTTTTTAAACTTTTTAATTTCTTTTATAATAATTATCACTTTAATTTACTAATCAAGGACCTCTTTATCTTCTTGATTATCTTCTTCTATCCTGACATTGATTTTTTCCTACATTTCCATTTCTAGAATTTACAAGTAAGTCTTAGGAGATATTATCTTATCAATAAATTGGAATACTTTCTCTATTGATAATAAATTTTAAATAATATAAATAAATATGGATATTTTAGGTAGTGATAAATTAGGCTGTTATAAATCATTTAAATCTTTATTCTGGAATTTTTCTTTATCTAATTTTTCTTTATTTTCTAAGTTAAGGTTTATTAATTTATCCTATATTTAATTATGATATCCTTTAAAAAATAATTTTTAAAAGATATGGAGGTTCTTTGTTATGACAAACCTATGCCTCAGAGAGGTATAGTTATTACTGGATTGGCTAATCCAGGGTTTTTTTAATTTAAAGGTAACAATATCAATAATAGATTAAGTAATTAAATGTATTCTGTTTGTTAGAGAGGTTTAGAATCTTTTTATTATGTTTAAAAAAATAGTTTTAAATTAATAATTAAAGAATATAAAAAAATGATTAAATATATAGAAGAATTATAGTAATTATATAGATATTCTTTATTATTATTTTCCTTATAGATAAGGTTAGATCCTTTTATTTATATTTATCCCCTATTATATTTATTAAATAAGATTAGATATATTTATCTATATTTATCCATATCATATTCACTGGATAAGATTAAATATCCTTATTTATATTTATTTATGTCATGTATTATATATTCCTATCCTATTTTGGTAAAGAAAAAGATTTCTTTTAGGATCTTATATCTTTATAGGTCTATATAATTTATAATATTATTTTTTCCTTTTTTAATTTTTTCATCCTTAAAGATCTTTTTTTCTAATAGGTTCCTTTTAATTTAATCCTTATTATATTTATTAATTTATTTATAAAGTATAAATATATTAATTAAGGATAGGAATATATAGAACTTTTAGAATGGATTAATAAGATTAGTTTTAATATAAATATTATATTATATTCATATTATTTTAATTATAATTTTAAATATATAATAATAATTAAGATATTTAAGAAATATAATGAATATATTTTACATTATTATTAATATAATAAAATAAATATTTCCATTAATTCTTTTTCTTGATTTGAAAATAAAGAAAAATAATTATCTATTTAAAAATGTTAGGTTGAAGAAATCTTTAAATATCTTTATATTAAAATAATTAAAACCTTAATTTATATTAAATAATTTAAATAATAAAAAGAATTATTAAAAGAAAAAGGCCTAAAAATATTTTAATATAATTTTCAAAGCTTAAAGAAATTAAAAGAATAAGAATAATTAAAAAAGGAATAATGTTTAGTTAAGGAATAATAATATAATATTAAAATATAAATTAATATAACTTCTATAATCAATTTCTTTTTTAACTTTTTTCTTAAAAATATAAACTTTAATTTACCACCATCAATTAATCTAGATTCTAATAATAGAAATCCTTAATTAATTTCTAGATTTTTTTATTTATAAAATGTTTCTATAATTCTTAGGTATTATTTTCTTTTAAATAATTAAATTATTTAATAAAATATTTAATTTAATTATTAATAATCTTAAAATTATAGATAATTTTAATATTATATTCTTCTAAATTTTTTTTTAATTTAATATTTTTTTTAAATTTAATATCCTTAAATATTAATTTAAATATAATAATATAAAATATATTAATTTTTAATTTTATATTTATTAATAATTATAATTAATAATTTATTTTTAAAAAGGCTTCTTTAATTAAAAAGGATTTTAATTTTTTAAAATCTAATTTTTTATTTGGTTTCTTAGTTTGAATTTGAAATATTTTTAATATAAAATATTATTTATCTTATAAAAGATAAATTTTATTTCTTTTATATAAAATTGGTTTTTTAATTCTTTTTTTATTATAATATATTATCATTTTATATTATAAAAATTCAAAATATTGTTTAAACTTAGTTTATAATGTTAAGATTCTAATAATAAATGTTTTTATTTTAGATAATATTATTTTTAATTTTGGAATAACTTTATTTATTAATAATTCTTATTTTATATTTATTTATTATCTATATAATGTTTCTTATAGTAACATCTTGGTGGTATTATTGACTAAAATATTATATGAAAATATAATAAATAATAAGAATTCTATCTAATTATTTTGTTCATAATTAATATAATTTCATAAATATTGTTCCAATATCTGATTTAATTATTTTATTTAATTATTAATCTGAAAATAAGCTATTATAAAAAACTTTTATTTAACCTCTAATCTTTTTATTAAATTAATCTAAAATTTTAAGGTAAAGAACTTATCTTTATTTGAAATAATCTTCCTTAATAATCTATATTTATTAAAAACCTTTTTTGATAAATTTAAAAATTAAATCTTTAGCTATATAAATTTCCTTAAATAATATAAAATATCTATATTTTATAAATTTATTAATAATAATTTATATATTATTATATTTTTTTTTAATTATTAAATATTATGATTTAAATAATTTGATAATAAAATCCTATATAATAATATCCTATAGTTTATTTAAAATCTTAATAAGTTATAAAAATCTATATAATTTATATTTAGTTTTTTTAACTTTATTATAAATATTATAATTTAAAATAATCTTTCTAATTATTTTTTTAATTCCCAAGAAATCATATATTTCTTATAATTATATAATTATTTTAAAAATTCCTAAATATCTATATAAAAGATATTTATATATCTTTTATATAAATTCTTTTTATAATATTAATAATATATAGGTTTTCCCATTATATAATACCATATTTTTAATAATAAAATCTTATATTAATAAAATATCTTTAATTTATAAGATTTCTTTTTTGATCCTTTATTTTCATTTATATTATAATTTAATTAAATATATCATTAATAATATTAGGATATTATTAAATATTTCTTAGAATATTATCTTTTTTTTTTTAATCTTTTTAATATTAAGATTTTTTAATCTATTAAGAATATCTACCTAAATATTCTCTTTTCCTTTAATATAATGGATTTTGAAATTAAAATATATAAAATTATTTACCTATTATAATTATTTATTATTAAAAACTTTAATAATTATAAGAAACTTAAGATTATAATAATCTAAATAAATTTTTAAAAGTTTAATAATTTTTGATATCTATGGTTTCTATTTCTTTAATATTTGGTAAATAGTTATAAATTCTTGATTATATATTTTATATTTTATTTTTAATTTTTTAAAGATTTTGGAAAAATAGGTAATTAAATATTAGTTTCCATTATCTTCTAATTATTCCAATGTTATTCTTATTATTCTATTTAAAATATTAATATATAATTATTTTCTTTTATTTAGATTAAATAACTTTATTATTAGATCTTTTATTATAATCTTTTTCATTTTTTAGAATGCTTTTTTTATCTCTTATATCTACTTAAAATCTTTTAGATTTTTAATATATATTATAATTATTATTAATTCTATAATTTTCTTAAAATCCTTAATTAAGATTTTATTATAATTATAAAAATTATAGAAAACTTATACTTCCATAATGGTTTTTAAGATTAGTCATTTCCTAATCATAAATATTTTAGATTTTTAGATCTTAATTTTTTTTAGAAAGATTATATATCCAAGGTAATCAAATTTTTAAATAAAGAAATTATTCTTATTTAGGTTTATAAGAAACTTAGCTTTTCTTAAAACCTTAAATATTTTATATATATCCTTTTTATATTATTTTTTGGTTTTTGAATAAATTAGAATATTATTTAAATATATAAAAATGTTTTTTCCAAGGAATTATCATAAAATATCCTAAATCATTTATTAAAAGATGGCTAATATATTTATAAATCTAAATGACATTATCAAATATTTGAAATAATTATATAATATTCTGATAATTATTTTTTATTTATTTTTTTTAATAATTTATATAAGGTTAAAAATGAATTTCAGATCTAATAAAATAAATTATTTATTATTATCTATTTCTTCTTTTAGGTTTTTAATATATGATAAAAGATGTTTATCCTTAATTATAATTTTATTTAATTATTAATAATTATAGATATCCTTCCATATTATTTTTTTTTTTATTTAATTTAGTATGACGAACCTATGTCTCAGAGAGGTATAGTCGTTGCTGGATTGGCTAATCCGGGGTTTTCTTGATTTGAAGGTAATAATATTAATAATAGATTAAGTGGTTAAGTATATTCTGTTTGTCAGAGAGGCTTGGAGTCCTTTCATTATATTTAAAAGAATAGTCTTAGATTGATAACTAAAGAGTTATAAAAAGAATGACTAGATATATAGGAAATATCTGTGGTTATATAATTGCTTCTTCCTTCCCTTCCATCCTGAGGTTTGTTGTGATATGTTGTGATGTGTTGTGATGTGTTGCGATGTGTTATGATGTATTGTGATGTATTGTGATATATTGTGATGTGTTGTAATATGTTATATCTTAGCATATTAATCTGGAGTTTAACCGTGATAGGTTGCCTATGTTCTATCCCTTGTGATCCAACAAGGGTCTCTTATAGATGGTTTGTAACATTATACCCCTTCCCTTTGAATCTTTACCCTCAAAGATAAAAAAAAGGTATGTATCTTTTTCCTCTTTTATTTCTATGCTTATTGTATAGAAACTATATCTGGGAAGGTGTAAAAGTCAAGTGTTCGTTCTAATCAATGGCAGGAATGCCATACTTGCGCCGACTATATTGAAATTCATGGTCGATCCGTCCTTCCTTGTTTCAACTGTGACGCTTCCGAAGAAGATTGCTTTTTGTCCACTGGTTTTGGAGTCTGTAACCACTGTACTCGTTGGAATCGAAAACGCTGCGACGTCCTGGAGATGAATGTTCTTGACTGTGTTTCCTGGGCCTGTACTCGTCTAGAGCAGGAACGCAAGGATGCAGAGGACGAACTGGTCCATCTACAAGAAAAGATGGCAGAGAAGATCAGCAAGTTGCAGCGACTTCGTCGCCAGGAGGACTTGTTAAAAAGGCGCGGTCTAGAGTTGTTAAAACTTGGTGAGGAGCAGGATATCGAGGAAGAATAGGCCTGCCTGGCAGAGGAATGGGTTCGCATTGTCGAGGAACAGGTCCGAGTCGAACGGGGACACGGCGTTCCTACCTCTGAGGCTTCTTCCTTGGCCTTCCCCTCTTCCTTGTCTGGGGTAAATTTTGATCTTGGCCCGATGTCACCGTCGACTGCGGCCGCATGGGCCTTGGTCGGTCAGGGTTCTGGCGGTGAAAACCCTCAATCAACCTCTAGACCCCATCACTCATAAGATGTTTCCATGGTTCCCAGATATTATTCTCCTCCAAATAGTCAAACCATTTAATAAAGTACTCGATTTGATCATTAGTAATCCTAGAATCACGAATGGCTTCGACGTTATATTCTTCTGGGTCCTCCTCCAGTTTGACATTTCCTTCAAGTTCGGTGTCCCCAAATACTGGTTCAAGTATAGTGATATGAAACACATTAATTCTTAATTTTATATTTATTAATAATTATAATCGATAATTTATTCTTAAAAAGGCCTTCTTAATTAAGAAGGGTCTCAGTTTTTTAAAATCCAATTTTTCGCTTGGTCTCTTAGTTTAAATTTAAGGTATTTTTAATGTAGAATATTACTTATCTTATAAGAGATAAACCTTATTTCCCTTATATAAAATTGGTCCTTTAATTCTCTTTTTATTATAATATATTATTATTCTATATTATAGAAATTTGAGGTGTTGCTTAAGCTTAGTTTACAATATCAGGATTCTAACAGCAAATGTTTCTACTCTAGGTGGTACTATTTCCAATTCTAGGGCAGCCTTGTTTGTTAATAATTCCTATTCTACATTTGTTTGTCATCCATACAGCACTTCTTGTAGTGACATCCCAGTGATATCGTTGACCGAAGTATTGTATGAGGATATAGTAAGTGGTAAGAGTTCCATCCAGTTGTCCTGTTCATAGTTAACATAGTTCTATAGGTATTGTTTTAGTGTTTAATTTAGTTACTCTGTTTGGCCATTAGTCTGAGGATGAGCTGTCATAGAAAGCTTCTGTTTGATCCCTAGTCTCTTCATTAGGCCAACCCAAAATTTCGAGGTAAAGAGCTTGTCTCTATCTGAAATAATCTTCTTTGATAACCCGTATCTATTAAAGACCTTTTCGACAAATTTGAAAGCCAAATCTTTGGTTGTATAGGTTTTTTTAAATGGCATAAAGTACCTGTATTTTGTAAGTTTATTGGTGATAACCTATATGCCATCATATTCTTCTTTGGTTACCGGATGTTGTGATTTGGGTAATTTGGTGATAAAGTCCTATACAACAATATCCCATGGTCTATCTGGAATGTTAATGGGTTGTAGAAACCCATACGGTTTATGTCTGGCTCCCTTAACCTTGTTGCAGATGTTATAATTTGAGATGACCTTTTTGACTATTCCCCTGATTCCTGGGAAGTCATATATTTTCTGTAGTTATGCAATTGTCTTAAAGATTCCCAAATATCCATATAGAGGGTGTTTGTGTACCTCTCATACAAATTCTTCCTATAGTGTTGGTGGTATATAGGTTTTCCCATTGTATGATACCATATCCTTAATGATGAAATCCTATATCGGTAAAATATCCTTAATTCATAAAACTTCTTTCTTGATCCTTTATTCCCATTCATATTATAATTTAGTCAGATATACCACCGACAATACTAGGGTGCCGTTGGACATTTCCTGGAATATTACCCTTTCTTCTCTAACCTCTTTGGTACTAAAACCTTTTGATCTATTAAGAATATCCACCTAAATATTCTCTTTTCCCTTAATATAATAAATCTTAAAATTAAAATACATAAGATCATCTACCCACCATGATTATCTACTACTAAGAACCTTAATAATTATAAGAGACTTAAGATTGCAGTAATCCAAATAGATCTCCAAAGGTTTAGCAGTTCTTGATATCCATAGTCTCCATTCCTTTAATATTTGGTAAATAGCCATTAATTCTTGGTTATATATTTTATATCTTATTTCTGGTCCCTTAAAGGTTTTGGAAAAATAAGCAATTGGATGCCATTTTCCATCATCTTCCAGTTGCTCCAATATTACTCCCATTACTCCATTCAAGACATCAATATATAATTGTTTCCTCTTATTTAGGCTAGGCAACCTCATTACTAGATCCTTTATTACAATCTTCTTCATTTCTTGGAATGCTTTTTCTGCTTCTTATATCCATTTAAAATCCTTTGGATTTTTAACACATATTATAGCCATTATTGGTTCCATGATTTTCCCAAAGTCCTTAATTAAGGCTCTACTGTAGTTGCAGAAACCGTAGAAGGCTCGTACTCCCGTAATGGTTTCTGGGGTCGGCCATTCCCTTATTGTGGATATTTTGGATTTCTGGATTTTGATTTTTCCTGAAGAGATTATATATCCAAGGTAGTCAAGTTTTTAGACAAAGAAGTCACTCTTGTCTAGGTCTATAAGAAACTTAGCTTCTCCTAAGGCCTTGAATACCTTGTATACATCCTTTTCATATTATTTTCTGGTTCTTAAATAGATTAGAATGTCATTTAAGTATATGAAAGTGCTCTTTCCGAGGAATTATCGTAGAATATCCTAGATCATTTATTGAAAGGTGACTGGCATATTTGTAAGTCCAAATAGCATCACCAAGCATTTGAAATGACTGTGCGATGTTCTGATAACTATCTTCCACTCATCTCCTTCAACAATTTATATAAGATTGAAAATAAACTTCAGATCTAATGATATAAACCATTCATTATCACCTATTTCTTCTTTTAAATTCTTAATATGTAATAAAGGATACCCATCTTTAACCATGATTTCATTCAATTATCAATAATTATAGATATCCTTCCATATTATTTCTCCTTCCTTATTTAGCTTAGATATCCCATCCTTATTCTTCTTAGATACTAAAAAGACTAGGTATCCTGTTGATAATTTTGATTTTCATATAAATCCTCTTACTTCCTTATCTTAGAATATAATACATAGAATTTCGGATTTATTCTAACTTAATCTATAAATTTGATATAGTTTTGGATATTCCCCTTCTTTTAATATTATTTTATGGTTATATCAATTATGTTCTAATATACCTATATCTATATCTAGATTATCCTGGAATAACTTTGAAAACATTTTTACATATTTTTCTTTAATTTTAATTTGTTTTTAATTGTTTAATTCTTTAATATCCATATATCATATTATAAAGCATAAAGATACAGAATATTCCTTTATAAGATTACCTATTTATATTTGTTATAATTGTTATTTCGATTTACTTGAGTCAGCCTCTTTCCAATGCTCAGGGGCTGAATCTTTTTCTGGCTCATCTCAATAAAGTCGATCCTATACCCAGTCGATTCTTGGGTTACTAGCTCTGAACTACATCTTCCCCAAAACTAATTCGTAGTTTATATCAACAAAATCGAAAGATACCAACTCCTAATATCTTTAAATCAAGACAGAAAAAGCTGTAATTTCTCTTTTGACTTTTCCTCCATCATAGGCAATGAAACTTCCATTAATATTACTGACTTAATAAGACATTTTCTTTTTTTGATATAATATTCCATATATGTTAACTAATCTTGGATAGATCAAATTAACTGCATATCCTAAGTCAATCAGGGCATTAAATTTGTATTCTTTCCATATTATCTTTATAATTAAGTAGGGTCCCTTGGCTATTCCTATTGAATATGTTGGCTTAACCTCATTTAATATTGTCTATAAGATCTTCAGTAATTTTTCTATTATATCCTGCTGTTTGTTAATTGTATTGATCATTCCTTATGACAGGTTTATTAATTGTTTGATTCTTCCTTAAAGAATTATAATCTTGCTTTCTAAGTATTGTATTTCTCTTTGAAACTGGTTGATCATCTTTCTGTATTGTAGTAATGTCTATTCGTAATATCCACCTAGGACAGCATTTAAATACTGGGCCATTTGTTTTAGATATCTGTGAATAGGTTTAGTTAAGGTAATTTTGTTTTGTTTTTTCTTGTAAAGTATTGTATGGGAGATCTTATGTATGTTCCTGTAATATCATTGTGCGAATTCCCAGTCCCATCCATTTCTGATTACCCCCTTATAATCCAAATCTTCAAATGTTTTCAGGATAAATAGTTCTGGTATTCCTTGTCCTTTAAATATTCTTCTAGCAATGTTTCTACAGGCTCTCCCGCAATTCCATCTCTTGCATTTTCAGGTCCATACTTCATCACTTTTAGACATATATCTTAGGTCCATTAAGTCACCAAAATTGTAATAATAATAATCCATTCACTCAATTAACCATGCATAGTATACCAATTCCGATTCAGGAATTCGATTCCATCCTCCCTCATCATTAGAATCCCATCGGTCCCATATCACCTATTAATATAGTTACATTCCATCGAAATGTGTCAGAACAACACTTTCATCTGATAATAATATAACAGAGATGTTTTAATTGTCAACCTATACTAAAAACATCACTTCTCCTTCTACTTCTCCTTCTATATTCCAATCCATATCCCATAATGGCCTTTATTCATTCGAAAAAGAGCTAAATTCCTCCAAAAAGACATTCATTTCTTCCTCCTCAGAGTCCCTTATGCCTATCGCACCAAGATTCCATAACTGATTCATTTGGTCCATGAAACTCTCCATTTCTGTTTGTTGGGTGGCTTTGTTATAGTCTGATAATGGGTTTTCCTATTTTTCTTCTTCTTCGAAAATATCAAATATTCCCAAAATTAAAGATCCCAATATTGTCGTTATTACATTAGCTAATCTTCCTTCTAGGATTCATGGCTATTTCTTGGGTTTCTTACATTAGCTCTTATAGTATCCTATTTCCTGGCAATTATAATACTTGACCTTATTCAAATCCTTCTTGGATTTCTTATCATTATTAACTATATTTAGGCTCTAAGTCTTGATAAGTTCCCTTTTTCCCTGATTTTTCATTACTTTAGAGTCTTTCTTTTTCTTATTATATCTTTCATATAACCTATTATCA